CTGGAGGCTGCAGCTGGACCGACCTCTGACCCTCAACAACACTGACCCCTGAGAGAGGAGGAGGAGGAGGAGGAGGAGCTCCTTTCAGAGGCTGACAGACAAACATTGTTCAGGCCTAGTCCACACGAACGCAGCTTTTATAAAGTGAGTTTTTAAAAAATCCACATGAAAACGCAGAAACACAAGTGAAGCGCTGTAAAGAGCAGGGCTGCAGCTGACTTTTGGAATGGAGTATTCTACAGATTATTTCATCGATTCCAGCGAGGTGGGCCGGAACCTCGACCGGGACTTCTCCCAAGCCGCCGGTCCTCTCCTCTGCCCTCTCTGGGCGCTACGTGACGCTCACCTGTTCCAGGTTCTCGCCTGCCTGCTAAACTCTGTCGGCGGAGAGAGACGAGGGAGAAGAGAAGCTCGGGGCCTTTTCAAGCAGCCGTGTGTGAACTTGTGGTGAACCGACCAATCACAGCCTGGATGGGGCGGGACATTTAAAAGTGTTGACAGATGGGGGTGTCATTTACGCTGGGGACGCTGGGGACAGGTCAGAATCAGAATGTTTCCATCAACGCTTTTGAAAGCTTTTGTTAAAAATGTTCTGAAAAACAGCAACAAGAAATGTTGAATAACAAATGAAAGAATGCACCAAAAGAAAACATGCGATGCAACTGAAATATAGAAGAAACAAATGTCCAACAGCTGATTACTGAATTATATTCCATTGTGTACCTTTAGTTTCCCTTCATATAAATAAAGACATTTCCTCCATAAATTGGTGCAGAAAATTTGTCCAGAATGTAAGAAATTAAGTGGTTAATGCGCAAAGTTTCATCTTGTGGTTGAGGATAGTGGGGGGGGGGGGGGCAGTTGCTAAATATAGGTATATACACATCTTTTTTTTACTTAAAAAGAACGAAGCATCGATGCTTTTCAATAATGGGATTATTTGATTTTCTCTCTAAATCTTTTCAGCCCTAGTAAAGAGCGTGCCAAACCAACCCTAACCCCATGTTGACCAATCAGAAGCCTGAAAAAAAGCTATTTCCAGTTCTGCTCCTCTACATTTCTACGTCCACGTTGGTCTCAGTGTGGAGCTGAAACGAAGCTGGAGGTTCCACGCTGACTGACGTCTGTAAAACAGAAGCAGACAAACTCACAGCTTTATGACTCTGATGGAAAGAACACGTCTGAATGTTTGTCTTTGCGTATGAACACAGAGTTTTGTGCGTCAGGCCCCGGGGCCCTGCTGTTCTTGATCGCAGCCTGTGCTTCAGTCGTACCTGCGTCAGGTGGAGTTAACGAGGTCGCCGAGGCCTCGCGGCTGCTCGGTGACTGACAATCTGCTCACAGAACTTACTGTCAGCATCACTGAACACAAGAGAAACGCCACAAACAGACCTGCAGCTGTGACAGAGAGGATTTATTAATGCAGCGACTGAATGTTCACCTGAAATAAGCAGCTCGTCCTCACCAGAGATTCTCTGAATTGTAATGCTTTACACTACTTTTGAGTTACTCTCACTGCTTTTTAATCATTATTCAGATAGTAAGCTGGTCCTGCATTGGTGGGTTCTAGTGATGTGCAGATCAGTTATATCTGCAGATCGGGTGGGTCTTTGTTATTAAAATGTGGGTGAAATAAGATGAATCGTCTCCCATTAAGAAAGACGTGTGCATTTATGCACAAGGTGCAGCAGCATAACTTCATTGATTATTTAACTCTCCGACAGGATGCACTGACAGCAGCCTCTTTGATAAGGAAAAGAAATCACATGTGCGCAGGATCTATGATCCATTTTATCAATATTTTAAAGACCCTCCAGAATTTCACAAATGATGTTTTCAGGCGAGCTCCCGTCTATCAGTCTCAACCATCGATTTCCAGCAACAGGAAATAACTTCTCTTTTAGTCACAGTTTTTTTCAGGTTGTTTCGTGGTGTTGGCGAATTAAAATGAGTTTATAACTGGTAGAATACTACAAAACTTTTGTTAGCAATGCGTTAAATTAACTGCGTTACAACATAAAGCAATCCATTACTGTAACTGTGTGACTTTTTTTAAACATTTAACACGTTTCTCTGAACACTGGTCAGTTTAATCCATGTCTCAGCATCGGGTGGTGATGGTCAATTCCCCATCCACCATGTGTCCCTGAGCAGGACCCTTAATGTTGCTCCAGAGGCGTGCGACCTCTGACATGTATAGTAATTGTAAGTTGCTTTGCCTGCTCGTGTGTGTTGCCCTGTTGATTACCTGATGTGTGCACGCTCTCTGTCCGGCCGTCATCATTTGTCGAGTGTCCTGAACCCCTCTGAGTGTTACTCTGGGATTTTTGGAATAACCTGCCAGTTGTGGATTTGTGCTTTTTGGACTCAGCCTTGTTTTGTATTTTATCTGCACCTGAGTTACCGTGAGTCCAGTAAATATTGCATCCTGGTCTTTGGTGTTTTGCCGTCACTCTGACGATCCTGACAGATGTGGTATTAAGAGCGACAAAGTGAGCGAGGTGGTTCAGGTGGATAGAAACAACCAAACTCAGGACTTTCACACAGGAGATTATACAAACAACAAAGCAGAGCTTACAACGTTTGCTGCTAATGTTAATGAATTGTTTAGCTGCTAAACTGAACCAGGTTTGCCAATAGCTTTAAAATATAATTTTCTTGTACAGTCCTCAATGCTCTCTAAACCGTATCGTCCTTTCTGTAAATTCAGGAGACTATAGGTGGAAGCACAAAGTGAGCAGTGGATGTGCTTGAGACAGAAAGGAAGATTTGATTCATTAAACGCAGTGAACAGGTTATATTTCAGCAGGACTCTGGTCCTCAGTTTGCCTTCAGAGCAGAAAGTGAAGGGGAAAGGAGTTCTGTGCTAATAAACCAGAGCCTCCATTTCACCTGCTGACCTGCTCACCAATTTAACAAGAGCAGAAGAGACGGGCCGCTCGGCGAGGAGCAGCTGATTAACTCCCTCAGGAGCAGGTTGTGGCGGCGGGGGGTCCAGTCTGTGAGGACTCTGTGTCAGCAGGTTTGCACGTGGAAACTTAAACATGTTCCTCACATCCGATGTGTGAAATGTAGTCCTGCAGACATGTGTAGCGCCCACAGATCAGGTTTACATCACGTTCTGTGCTGAAACAAACACCTCCCAAATATCCGGGTCGGGCCGTAACACACTGATGGAGTGATGGCAGTGACGGCTGGTCGTTCACCCCTTTGATGGATGGATTGTCCTGAAATTGATTAATTGGCTTTTCCTGCAGCGCCCCCGTCAGCTGTACTTTGTGTTTATGTAGTTCATTGAGCAGTTTCACACAAAACTACTTTAATGTTTTACACCAAACTGCCAAACTCTCTTGACTTAAATGATCTTTAAAACATCACGTGTGTGCAGACAGGTGACACAATAAAGGAAAAAGCTGAATAAATGTTTGTCATGTTTGTGGTTTTCAGTTTTATTTTTTATTTTTAAAGGGTTTTTTCTTTTTCCGAATCTGCGTTTTCATTCTGTGTTTGTGATCTTGCCTCGGTTCTGTAAAGTAATGGTTGTGTTCTCAGTTTTACCTTGTTAAATCCATCCTCATGTTGCTGCACGCTTTACTTCCTGTTTTACGTTGATATCTTTCTCTGTGTTCTTCATTGAGCTTTATTTCCTGTCTTTGTCTCCCTTATTACCCTGATGTGTTTCACCTGTTCACTCCCAAAGTTCCAGAAGAATCAATAAATGACTAAATAAATAAATGTGTAAATATATGTAAGAAAGAATCAATGAATGACTAAATAAATAAATGTGTAAAATATATGTAAGATAGAATCAATGAATAAAATAATAAATAAATAAATGTGGAAATATATGTAAGAAAGAATCAATGAATGACTAAATAAATAAATGTGTAAAATATATGTAAGAAAGAATCAATGAATAAAACAATAAATGTGTAAATATTTGTAAGATAGAATCAATGAATAAAAGAATAAAAAAATAAATGTGGAAATATATGTAAGAAACAATGAATAAAATAATAAATAAATGTGGAAATATATGTAAAAGAATCAATTAATAAAATAGATAAATGTGGAAATATATGTAAGAAAGAATCAATGATTAAAACAATAAATAAATGTGGAAGTATATGTAAGAAAGAATCAATGAATAAAACAATAAATAAATGTGGAAATATATGTAAGAAAGAATCAATGATTAAAACAATAAATAAATGTGGAAATATATGTAAAAGAATCAATTAATAAAATAGATAAATGTGGAAATATATGTAAGAAAGAATCAATGATTAAAACAATAAATAAATGTGGAAGTATATGTAAGAAAGAATCAATGAATAAAACAATAAATAAATGTGGAAATATATGTAAAAGAATCAATTAATAAAATAGATAAATGTGGAAATATATGTAAGAAAGAATCAATGATTAAAACAATAAATAAATGTGGAAGTATATGTAAGAAAGAATCAATGATTAAAACAATAAATAAATGTGGAAGTATATGTAAGAAAGAATCAATGAATAAAACAATAAATAAATGTGGAAATATATGTAAGAAAGAATCAATAAATGACTAAATAAATAAATGTGGAAATATTTGTAAGATAGAATCAATGAATAAAATAATAAATAAATAAATGTGGAAATATATGTAAGAAAGAATAAATGAATAAAACAATAAATAAATGTGGAAATATATGTAAGATAGAATCAATGAATAAAAGAATTAAATAATAAATAAATGTGGAAATATATGTAAGAAAGAATTAATAAAACAATAAATAAATGTGTAAATATTTGTAAGATAGAATCAATGAATCAATGAATAAAATAAATAAATGTGGAAATATATGTAAGAAAGAATCAATGAATAAAACAATAAATAAATGTGTAAATATATGTAAGAAAGAATCAATGAATAAAACAATAAATAAATGTGGAAATATGGAAAAAAACACACCGCCACCTATTTGACCTCTGACCTCTGTTGACTCCTCCAGGAAGGTGTTGAAGCAGATTCCTCTCGGCGACCTCCGACCTGACGAGACGGTCCGAGCCACGCAGGAAGCCCATCTGCTGTCTCAGCTGCACCACCCGGCCATCCTCACCTTCTACCACAGCTTCCTGGAGAGAGACGCCTTCTGCATCGTCACAGAGTTCTGCCAGGTAACGCCGAGGACCTGAGGATCCCCTGGTCTGAGAAGGACTTCAGGTTTTCTCTCTGATGTCCCCGGCTGCTCTGCCTGATGGACAGACAGCTTTACTTTTTGCTGAAGTTAGTTATCAGCTAACTAGCTGCTGCTAGTAGCTCAGCTAGCTGTGCAACCACTGGTCAGATTAGTAGTGTTGTAGTCAAGACCGCCCAAACTGAGACCAGGTCAAGACTAAGACTTTTAGGGGCTGAGACCAAGTCGAGACCAAGACCGAGGTAGGGCGAGACCGAGTCAAGACCAAGACCAGTTCCCCACATTAGGTCACACACAATAAAATGTGGAACGAGATCACAGGTGCTTCTCAAACTGATCTGAAAGATCCACATTCCCATAAAAACACCCACATACAAACACTAAGAGCTGAAATCAACGTAAACATCTTTATTCAACACTCCTTTTCCATGTTTACCATCGCGGGGAGGGGGGGCAGTCGTTACGGTACGCAGGATAAGCGGTGGACGATGGATGGATGGATTCATCTGAAACAAAAAGTCTTAGATCCAATCAAAGTTAGGATGTTAACTAATAAATCAGACAATGCAAAAGCAGTTTATTGATATTCCCACAGTTATGGACTTATGGAATAAAATCCTGAGTCCTCAATGTCCGAGACCGAGACCGAGACAAGATCGAGTACATATGCGGTCGAGTCCGAGACGAGACCAAGACCAGTCTCGAGTACTAAAACACTACAAATTAGCTCAGTCTGTCCGTACTGGGAGCTCGGAGCATCGGGGGAGTGTTTTTGTTTACCATAGACTGTATGAAGGTGTTTACACCTTTACTCAAACACTGCAGGGAAGGATGGCGTGGTGCAGCGCCCGATTGGGAACCAGCCCCAGGGTGTCAAGAGCCAACCGCACCCGGCAAGAAAACCACCTCGGTAAAGTTAGTGTATCCCCAGTGGTCAAACTGGCCTCTGTCGGTCTCGGAGGCTGTGTTCGGTCCTGGTCCAGCTGCCGTGTTCACTCACTGAGAGCTGGAACCAATCCGCACAGAGTCTGCATGACGAGGTGGGGGCGTAACCACATTCTCTACAGACAACGGGCCCCATGACAAAAAAATCTAATTGGACCCCCTCTGCACAGCATTACTTCTCTAGGACTTAACTGTCCCATCAAAAGCTTTGCATAACTCTAATTAAAGGCTTGCAAGTGTCGGGCTTCTTGTAGTTCAATACTAGTACTAGCTCAATATGTACTGCTGGTGATTTGTACGTGCAAGTCTGCACACAGGATGCAGTTCACTATTTGCTTCTCAAATAAATTGCCCTTCATGATGGGAATGATAAAGTCTGTAGCTATAGATGTCATTAACGGCCATAATTCAGTCTAAATGAACGTATCAAACTGGATTATTTTAATATAGTCTGTAACTTACATGCAGGCTGAGGTAAGCTGCTGTCCAGCATCCAGGACAGACAGGAAGGTGTGTTTTTATTTTAGGATCATTACGTGAGAAAATAATTTGTGTTTGAATTTCTGTCATTAAGAAATATTTCATTTTCTTTTCTTGTTCTGGTAAAAAGAGCCAGAGAGCCAGAGAAATCCCCACAGACTCCCTGGCATTAACACCATGCTGCTCCCCTTCTTCACTGGGACAGGGAGGCTGCAGTTATGGGCAGGCTGGGCTGCTGCTGACTCATCTGTTGTTAGTCTGCAAAAAGGGGCGGAGACAATGATTTAATATGAATATCTTGCTAAGCACTCACAGACTAAAGGCTGCACACCTGGGTAATAATAATAATACATTTTATTTGTAATGCACTTTACATTTAAGACAAACCTCAAAGTTCTACAGGTGAGATCATAAAAGCAAGGTAAAAACATCAGTGTGCGTTACAACAATCCAGTCTGGGTTACAGATTGACATCCTTTCCTTTATCTTTCCTCTCTTTACTTTTCAATATCTCACTGATGTGTGCGCTGAGGCAGGATCAAACCATTTCATTCGGTCAATATGGAGGTTTACTTTTTGGTCAATGGGGATTTTGAACTTTTACTGCCAAAAACAAGTAAAAACAAAGAGATCATTCATTTTATTATTATGTTTGAAATATATTTATACTCAGTGATGATGGTTTATATCAGGGATGGGCAACTGGCGGCCCTTGTGCTCATTCAGTGCGGCCCGCAATCAATTTCAAAATATTAATCCATTTTTAGTTTCGCAGGCGATGGAAGCAAGAGGGCCATTTGACCACATTTGAACCGGATTCCAATTGTAATTATAATTTCCAACGACAGAGGGCGCTCCCTCGTAACGCAAGAGGCCCTTAACCAAGCACATGGTCTCTTCTTGGTGTCACCAGGCCTCTTCCGAAGCACGACGAAGAGAGAAATGAGCGTCCAAAAAAGAAAACGGGACCAAGAGAACCGTGTCTTCCAGGCAAGATGGATTATCTTTTTATAGGATTCAAAGTGTGTGCCTGGAAACAAAATCAGCCATGAAGGATTTCAACTTGAGTCGGCACTACAACACCATGCACAAAGACAAATATGAGTATAGATAAGTACGCCGGAGCTGCCAGAGCCGCTATCGTCGCTGACCTCAAAAGAAAAATACATCGACAGCAGAGCCTTTTTACCAAAGCTATGACTTCACAGGAGTCCTCTCTTGCGGCATCTTATGCTGTGTGTTGAGCTTGCTAAAGCAAAGAAGCCATTGTCAGACGGTGAAACAGTGAAGCGATGTGCAGTAGAGATGGCTAAAGCTTTTGGAGATGATAACATGGCTAAAAACTTTGAAACAGTCTCTCTGTCCCGTCGCACAGTCACATGAAGAATTTTTGACATTCAAAATCATGTCAAAGGAAAGCTAAAAAAAAGTCGTGCATGACTGTAAATACTTCCTTAGCATTGGATGAAAGTACAGATGTGATGGATGTAAGCCAGCTCCTTATTTACACGAGAGCCATTGACAATTAATTTGAAGTGCACGAGGAGTTACTGAAGTTGGTGTCTTTGCATGACACTACCAAAGGCAAAGATATTTTCAACACCGTTGAAAGTGTTGTAAGTGAGCATGGGGGCTTTGACAAGCTTTCTGCTGTTGTTACCGATGGCGCACCATCAGTGCAAGGAAGATGCACTGGATTTGCCGGGCTCCTCAGACAGAGCGGCATCGACTGCCAAATACTGCACTGCATCATACATCAGGTGGGTAAAATATTGCTAGCTAACTATATGTTTATGAATGTGAGTATTCTTTGTAAGAATTATTTTCACAGGCTAAATCGCATTTCATTTTGATCTTACAGGAAGCCCTCTGTGTGAAGACAGTCAACTTCAGCCATGTCATGGATTTAGTTACCAAGGTTACAAATCTCATTCGAGGCGGGAACCGGTCTCTCAACCATCGGAAGTTTGTTACATTTTTGGATGAAGTGAGCGCCGCTTATAGGGATTTACAGATGCACACTGAGATCAGATGGATGAGCCATTGGAAGTGCTTGGAGAGGTTTTTTGCGCTGTGCGCTGAAATCCCAGTTTTCTTGGAGGGCAGCCTTTGTATGCAGTTGCAGGGAAGAGGCCAAACTGTGTCGGATCGCTATGCACACATGAACGCATTTCAGCTTTTCTTCCGACCATCCAAATTTGGCACACTTTCCCGCTTGTGCAGACATGCAAAAAGATGTCCCTGAATGCAAGAAGTCATGTACAGAGCCGGCATTGCAACACTGCAGCAGCCGTTTAAGGACCGCTTTCAAGATTTCTACGCCATGCAGCCACGAATTGCGTTATTCACTGACCCCATCTCTGCTGCTGTCAGCCACCAATCCCCTGAGTAGCAGTTTGAACTGTGCGAACTACAGTCAGATCCCTTCTTTGAAGCAAAGCGCAGTGAGAGGGGAATTTCATTTTGGAGATTTCTACCGGAGTCCCGCTTTCCACTCCTAAGGGATTTTGCACTGTCAATGGCCTGCATGTTTGGAAGCACTTACATCTGTGAGAGCAGCTTCTCAACAATGAAGCACATCAAGTCAAAAGAGAGAAACAGACTGACAGATGAAACGCTGTTCCAGCTCATGGAGATTGGATGCACAAACATTGAAATTGACATACAGTCTATTGTACGCCAGCAGGAGAGGCCACAAGTATCTCATTAAGACAGAACTTTATTCAGAGTGTCAAAGCTTTTTGAGATAAATGTATGCTTATTTACAACATGTCATGGAATGGGAAGAAAGAAAGTGCACTATACTATAAATGCACTACCACCAACTTGCACTGAAATAATTGTATATCAGTCCACAATATAGATATTTCTGAGCTAATCGGTGACTCTGAAACCACCTTGAAATTACCATCAAGAAAAATTCTTGCCAAGCCCTGTGTTAAACTACTGTTTTATCTCGAGATGATGAGATAATGACCCCGTTATTGCAAGAAAACAACAGTCGTTATCTTGAGATCATGAGATAATGATCCTGTTACAACGAGAAAACAACGGTCGTTATCTTGACAAGACGAAAAATTAGACCGTTATCTCGAGATCACAATATAATGATCCCGTTTTCGCGAGAAAACAACAGTCGAGATCACAATATAATGATCCCGTTATTGCGAGAAAACAGTCGTTATCTCGAGATCACAAGATAATGATCCTGTTACCAAGATAATGATCCCGTTACAACTCTATTGTATATATCTATTGCATATTTATATGTTGGGCTGTGGCTCAGGAGTTAGAGCGGGTTGGTCGTTAATCGGAAGGTCGGCGGTTCAATCCCTGGCTCCCCCTGATTGTGTGTCAAAGTGTCCTTGGGCAAGATACTGAACCGAAACTGAATCTTGAGATCACGAGATAATGATCCCGTTACCAAGATAATGTTCCCATTACCGCGAGAAAACAACAGTCATTATCTCGGGATGACGATAAAATTATCCCTTTACCGAGATACTGATCCCGTTATTGCGAGAAAACAACAGTCGTTATCTCCAGATGACAAGAAAATGATCCCGTTCCCGCGAGAAAACAACAGTCGTTATCTCAAGATGATGAGAAAATTATTCCGTCGCCGCGAGAAAACAACAGTCGTTATCTCGAGATCACGAGATAATGATCCCGTTACCGAGATAATGATTCCGTTACCGCAAGAGAAACAACAGTCGTTATCTCGAGATCACAAGATAATGATCCCGTTACTGAGATAATGATCCCGTTACCACGAGAAAACAACAGTCGTTATCTCGAGATCACGCGATAATGATCCTGTTATTGCGAGAAAACAAGTCATTATCTTGAGATGATGAGAAAATTATCCTGTTACCGCAAGATAAAAAACAACAGTCGTTATCTCAAGATCACAAGATAATGATCCCGTTACCGAGATACTGATCCCGTTATTGAGAGAAAACAACAGTCATTATCTCGGGATGACGATAAAATTATCCCTTTACCGAGATACTGATCCCGTTATTGCGAGAAAACAACAGTCGTTATCTCCAGATGACGAGAAAATGATCCCGTTCCCGCGAGAAAACAACAGTCGTTATCTCGAGATCACAAGATAATGATCCCGTTACTGAGATAATGATCCCGTTACCACGAGAAAACAACAGTCGTTATCTCGAGATCACGTGATAATGATCCCGTTACTGAGATAATGATCCCGTTACCACGAGAAAACAACAGTTGTTATCTCGACATCGCGAGATAATGATCCCGTTACCAAGATAATGATCCCCTTATCTCGAGATCATGAGATGATGATCTGGTTATCACGGGAAAAAATTATCCCGTTATCACAGGCAAAAGGGGTAAAATAAAGATATGAATCGATGGTTGCTTAGGGCTTCCGTAGCAAACACATCAGAAGGCCAATAGCACTGCGTTTTCTGTTTCATGGAAATTTTCTGCTTAAAATAATCCCTATGAGAATAATCTGATTACGTCTATTTTTTTCTGTACTGCAACAGAATACAGGTTGTTGTTTTTTTTTATTCTGATTACGTAATGCCGTTACATGTAATCCATTACTCCCCAACCCACAAGGTCAGTGGTTCAATCCCCGGCTCTGACACTGAACCCCAAATTTCTCCTGGTGGCTGTAAACATGTATGAATAAGTTAATTTCTGTTTCTGGTGAGCAGCTGGCACCTTCGCCTCTGCTCATCAGTGTATCTGGATGTGAATCTGCTTCATGGGGTGAATGTGATTTATTGTAAAGTGCTTTGAGTGGTTGGAAATTTCAACAAGAGAGCTGGAACGCACCCATCCGCTCGTCCATCTCACGCTGCATTTTACCCTCACTGGTGAGCAAAACCCAGAGAAACCACCTTTGCACTTTTTACATGCAGACTGCAAATGGTGACTGCATAGTTTGCAAATTCCAATGTTAAAGTCTTGAGACCAAAACCGGGAGCCTCGAAAACAAAACCAGGAGTCTCGAAAACAAAACTGGGAGATAAAAGAGGCTAAAAAGCTCCGAGCTGAAACTAAACCCTGTAGACAGACATGTTCTCTGCTCCGTGCTGCTTCTTTTTCTCCAAACATCTGTCATTTCTTTTATGAGTCTGTGAGCTGAAAGAATGAAGCAATAATATGAAATTGAATATCTCCCTCCCCTCCCCCTCCGTCTTCCTCTCTGTTTCCATCTTTTCATTATCTTTCTCTTTTCATCTCTGTTGTCTTGATTACAGAAGGTACTGTCTCCACACTCAGCCCTCTCCACTCCACTAATGAATCTCACGCTGCCTTCATCATCTCCTACAACACGTCACTCGGCGGTGACCCCCCCGTTATTATCTGCTCTGCTCCAACATCGCCTGAAGCTTTCATTCCTCCTCTCTCTCTCAGAGAACTACTGACACATTTCTCCGCTGGTATTTTACACCAGTAGAACCACAAACACAGGCAGGAAGCTGCAGCAGGTCTGAGGATTCATTCGCCACCAAAAACCAACGATACAGTTTGATTTTAGCCGAGACTCTGATAAAAACAGTTCACACACATGAACACAGTGGAATTCAGAGGCTGTCCAATCAAAGAGCCCATGCACTCAGAGACCCTCAGAGCTATTGTTTCTAGTCAGATCATTACCCACAATCCCCTGCAGAGCTGTGGAGGACTCAGGGGGTTTAACTGCAGCCTATCAGAGAAAAAAGAAAAAGCAGAATAGATATTCCAGCAGTGAAAACCCACACAAACAAACAAACAAAGTATGAGTAGAAGAGTAAAACAGAAGATGCATGCTTCTGTTTATTTGTGTTGGAGATTTTAAATGTTGTATGTTGGTCTGTTACACCTGAACTCACCTCAGACGCTCCACCGTCCCGCCGTTACTGCAGACACCTGAACTCACCTCAGACGCTCCACCGTCCCGCCGTTACTGCAGACACCCGAACTCACCGCAGACGCTCCACAGTCCCGCCGTTACTGCAGACGCCCGAACTCACCGCAGACGCTCCACCGTCCCGCCGTTACTGCAGACGCCCGAACTCACCGCAGACGCTCCACCGTCCCGCCGTTACTGCAGACGCCTGAACTCACCGCAGACGCTCCACCGTCCCGCCGTTACTGCAGACGCCTGAACTCCCCGCAGACGCTCCACCGTCCCGCCGTTACTGCAGACGCCTGAACTCCCCGCAGACGCTCCACCGTCCCGCCGTTACTGCAGACACCTGAACTCACCGCAGACGCTCCACCGTCCCGCCGTTACTGCAGACGCCTGAACTCACCGCAGACGCTCCACCGTCCCGCCGTTACTGCAGACGCCTGAACTCACCGCAGACGCTCCACCGTCCCGCCGTTACTGCAGACGCCTGAACTCACCGCAGACGCTCCACCGTCCCGCCGTTACTGCAGACGCCTGAACTCACCGCAGACGCTCCACCGTCCCGCCGTTACTGCAGACACCTGAACTCACCGCAGACGCTCCACCGTCCCGCCGTTACTGCAGACACCTGAACTCACCGCAGACGCTCCACCGTCCCGAGGTCATTACAGGAACCTGAACTCACCACATTTCCACGTCTCTCTCTGTCAGGATCGGGATCTGGACTGTAAACTGGAGGAGGTGAGACGAGCTGGGCGGAGCCTCTCTGAGCTGCAGGTCATCGATTGGCTCATCCAGCTGCTGCTCGGCCTTCACTACATGCATGAAAGGTAGGGACACGGTCGCCATGGGAACAAAGGTCAAGCAGTCAATAGGAGGAATGGAGTCAAACAGCTGCACTGATCACATGATCGATCACTCAAACAACAATTAAGTGAATCAATCAGTAAACGTTTTGACTGCTGCTCTCTGCAGGCGGATCCTCCACCGGGACCTGAAGGCCAAGAACGTCTTCCTGAAACGAAACCTCGTTAAAATCGGTGAGTTTCCTCCTCTAAGGCTGCTGCTGCAAAGGCTCATGGGACTTCCTCTGTGTTTGTTTGCCGAACATACGTGTGTGTGTGTGTGTGTGTGTGTGTGTTGGGTTTGTTACGGACCCCCTCGTGCTGCTTTCAAAGACTCCCTCTCGCTGACAACAAAACAATCTGAAAACAGGATCATAAATAGAAACGTGGCTCCAGTTAATAACGAGTCCGCTCTGAACCGGCAGCCAGATATTTCTGGAGTGTGAACTCAGCAGATTGCTGCTGCTGGCTGCAGTTTTGGATCCAAACTCTGACGGAAGTTTGTAGTTTACTCACCAGAGAGGCTGCGGACTAAACATAGAGACACAGAGGAACATGCTGCTGGACGTTCGTGGCCTCTGAGCTCGCAGCACCAAAACTGTGTTCAATTTTAGTTTTCATTTAAAGGTACAGTGGGAAATATTCAGGAGCATTTATAGACCGAAATGCAACATAATATCCATAACTGTGTTTTCAGTGGTGTATAAAGACCATCCATCCATCGTCAACAGCTTATCCTACCTACAGGGTCGCCGGGGGGGCTGGAGCCAATCCCAGCAGGTCCCTGTACAGGTCGCCAGTCCATCGCAGGGCGGTGTATAAAGACCTTCTTTTAATTTACCATAGAATGAGACATTTGTATCTACAGACACCGCGGGGCCGAGAAGGGTCCAGCTGCAGCCCGCAGACAAACGTGACGGAAAGTGAACTTCCATGTATGGTTGGTCCCAGAAGCCACCGCGCACAAAACGTGATGACGTACAATTTAGAAAAACGACTGACTATTGTAGTGTTTGATAGGTGATAATAATAAAGCAATGGGCCTTTCTCAATCTGTGTTCTTGTGAAACGTCCAAGTTCTGTCCCAATACACAACTTTGCATTTTGGCAAGAACGGTTAAAATTCCCGGAAGTGTTCTTGACACGCCCATTTTACCCAGGATGCATCTGTTGGTAACTTGTGTGAACTTGTCGGCACAGATGTCCCAGCGAGGGGCTGAGAGAAGCTGAGAGAGGCCGACAACAGAATGTTTTTTACTATTTCATCACTAAATCAGCTGTTTAGATGTCGAATATCAGCAGTTTTAGTGAAAATGATGGCGAATCAAAAATGTGCTCAAACGTTCGTACCGCTGTTATTCTGTCATTACTATTCTGAGTACTTTTGTGAGGTTTTAACTTAAATCAAGAGACAAGTTGATGATGTCCAGAAAAATCTGGTCTTGTGAAACTAAAAAAAACAAACAGAAATAGTACAAAAGGGGACGTCTTTGCTTTATTATTATTATTATTATTAATATATTGGACATTACATTGTTAGTGTACAGCAGAGTTGTGGTCACAGTATTTGCAGGAGGCCTCTGTGCTTGGGGGTATTGCGCAATACCAGGAAGAACGCACCGTCTCAAACCGTCAGCGGCGTTCTGCGTGCTCCTGACATTGCACGTTTATTCTTCCAAGAACGACTAGCAAGAACGCTCTCCCCAAGAACACAAGTCCGTTCTTTGCATGTTGTTGTTGTTGTTGTATATTTTATTTGTTCCAAAGAATATTCTGTAACGTTACATCACGAGCCAGATGTTTCTTGATTGAGGTTATAACTTTAGACTGTAATGATAGAATAACAGCCGTACGAACATTAACGGTATCGTTCAGCTGCTGCTGGACTCGTCCGCTGTGTTGGCTGCAGAGGTCTGTGTGACTCGCTGACCGGATCTCGCTGGCTAACTATTCCTGACAGTATGTTCCTCTTAGCCTGACCACCGCAGGGTGTGTGTCACGATCCTGTCCTGACGTTGTCTGTGTTTGGATTTTGGTTTCTCTTTTTCTGGGTTTTGGGTTCTTGATTCTGAGGTTTGGGTTTTGTATCGACTGTTTAGTTCTGTCATCCGTTGAGTTTAGTTCGCTGTGTGTTTACTTGTCGATCAGTTCGGCATCTGTTTATTATTTATCTGGTTATTATCGGTCAGCTAGTGTTTAGTGGTGTGTTGGTGTTTTCTTTATTTCTGTTCTGTTCCTTGTTGAGTGTTGTCCTGAATGCTGCTTCGTCCTGTCTCTGTTCCCCGGTCTCTGTTGGTCCATGTTTTCTGTTTCCGAGTTTTGTTTCTTGTCTCCTCAACTCCGAAAAAGTTCAAGCACATTTTTGTTCCACCATCACTTTTTGTAAAACTGTCAATATTCGATATCTACACATTTGATTTCTCGCCTCAAAACTTCTCAGAAGTGGATTTAGCTAGAACCGCCAGGGTTCGTATCTATAACCGCTATGAAAATGCAGTGATCTTGTGATTATTTCTGCTACATGTTGCTCCAACACACTTTGGCAAACATTCAGCATGTTGGCTGTACATTTCCCATAAACACCATCCCCACATTTCAGGCATTTACAGAATGTTTATTCTGTTCTTTTCATTATGCCTCTATGGCATCCACTTGCCGCTGTTGGATAGTTATATGCCTAGTTATATTCTAAACACAGCTTGAATTTAAACGCAGCGTACAATTTAGAAAAAAATGACTGATGATTGTAGTGTTTGATTGGTGATAATAATAATAGCCTCATAACGTAGGCTAGTTTACACTGTTCTTCTTGTTTTTTTGGACAAAAGTATTTATTCAAAAGAAAAAATTATCATCAATTCTTAGTAGATTTTTACCAAACGGAAAAATGTATAATATGATCAGTTTTACACATAGTGCTGGAAAACTGTATATCTTCTGCAGGTCAAAAAGTGCACGAGGGAGCCGCACGCCCTCTTGAAGGGACCTGAAAACACAGGGAAAAACTAGACTAGACTACTGCAGCATTAGTTCTGATGATCATGTAGCAACACAAAAGCTATGAGCAGCGGCTTTTATGCATGTTTACTTCATGCAAGTGGATCAGCTGTCAGATAATGACCCGTCAGATGCAGAGTCAACCCAGGACACATCGCTCAGCCCCCCCATCAGACTCTCCTTCATTCACTGTGATGAGCAAGTTTAATGCCTGTAGTGGGAAAGGCGTTGCCAATAGCAACAGAGAATGCTTATGTAAACGAACAGCGTGAAAATGACTGTATTCTCTATGGGGGTAAATTTTACCTTCTGGCGCTTATAGTTATAAATGCCCAATTTTTAAAAAATCTGGCTTTATCACAATAGGGGGCGCTACATAACACACTTTTAGGTAGAGTCAGAGACTGGGGGACTTGAATATTATATTGAAACAAATTTACATACAATCTAAAAACAATCGCGTGTAAATTTGACCCGTTGGCGAGTTCTAGTGTTAAACTGATATATAAGATATCATAGATGTCTGCGTGTGTTTATCTGCTCTGATGTTAATCCAACACATCTTTGTAGCAGCGGCCATGTTGATTCCACATTCTGACTTCAGAGCACTTGAACACACACTGAAGTGGGAAGAACAACTTCACAAATGGGACCATCAGAGGAGCGCCTGAATGCACCGTGGGCCACTAAAGCTTACACACTGAACCTTTTAAGTTTGTTTGTACTAAATCATTTCCACTCTGTGAGCTCACGACAAAAAGATACTCGCTGGGTTTCTGTCAGGATCGTGAAGTGTAGCAGCAGGAAAAGCCCAAAGTTTGGGCCCAAAAGCAAGAGACTGCAGCAAAAGCCCTGATGAAGTTTGTAATATTTATTCTAACTATTAACAAAATATCCAGTAGGGTTGCACGATATTGAGAAAATGTGATATTGATCATGAATATACTGTGATGGTTCCTGATACGCTTCCCCTTCGACTCATCTTCTTACTTTTCTTTCTCTCCTCTGACTCTCTTCGCTTTTCATTTCTCTCTCGCTGCCTTCACCCGCGCTGCAGAAGCATGCACACGCGTCACGCTGTACGCTCCAGTGGACCCGTGCGCTCACACTTGCATGTGACAGATCAGCCGGCCAATGAAACCTGATCAAACATGATGATTCAATAAAATAAAACATAAACTTTCCTTGAATGTGATGCTTGTATGATATTTCTATGTTGTCGTGACGTGTTTTTCTTGTTATTACCACTTAGTAGTGAAAGAAAAAGATGAGGTTTCGGTGCTTTGAACTCAGCAGGAGGCTGAAGCACTACAGTAACAGCTCTCTGATTTTAAATTCCAGTGTCTCATGTGAGAACAAAAGAAGCCTGCGAGTTATTTATTCAGTCTGATACTTTTGTTCAGAAGTGCTGCAGGAAATATTACCGTCCCACATGTTTCAGTAAAATAATCAATAAAAAGCTTAGAGTGGTGGCGATGGTGCAGCGGATAAGACTGTGATATGAGACTGACTGATTGATTGAATTGATTTAAAATAATTAAGCAATTACTTAAATACCTGATCACTAGTAAAGAATTGTAAAATCTTCAGTCATCAAGCCATACCTAGGGCGGCCTGAAGGCCTTCAGGTGGTCCCCAAAACGAGTGCTTATGAATAATAATATTATATAATATAATAATAATATTTATTCCTAACTTTATTAACCGAGAGTAGACACGCTGTAACGTGACACTTTTAATAAACAAAGATGTACCCAGATCTTTTAACTTTATTAAAAGTACTAATAACAGGTAGAAATACTCAAGTAAAAATCATGCATCCCAAATACTTGGGATACTACTCACAAGTACAAAAGTATTACCATCCAAATACTCTTGAAGTACTAAGATGTACTCATTACATCAGAATGGCCCATTTCAGAATAATATAGATAATATTATTGAATTTATAATTAGTGGTGCATTAATTAAATGTTGCTGCCTGTGGATCAGTGAAGTCTGATCTTAACCGATAGTAACGCATCACAATTTGTTTGTTGGTACTACTTTGAATTATTAATCTGAATCTGCAAAGTAACTAAAGCTTCAGATACGTGTAGTGCAGTAAAAAGTAAAGTATTTCCCTCTGAGATGCAGTAGAAGTAGACAGACTGAAACACAGGTGACCTGCTTCCTGCCTGCAGAGGATCAAACCTGCACATTTAATGACCTTTCCTCATGCTGCTGTCAGGTGATTTTGGCGTTTCCTGCCTGCTGATGGGGTCATGTGACCTGGCCACCACCTTCACAGGGACGCCGTACTACATGAGCCCAGAGGTGCTGAACCACCAGGGATACGACTCCAAGTCCGACATCTGGTGAGCTCAGCTTTTGTAGAACGAGTACAGCTTTTGTTTTCCTCTGATGAGAATGGCCTGGAGCTGGAGGGCGAACAGGTGCATCATGGGAAGGATGGCTGGACTCCTGCAGGTGAAGAGCAGGAATTCATTTAGCTTTTGTTGCTGCAGGAAGGAAAGCAAGTACCAGCTGGCAGTCGTGTGCAGTTTATCTCCTGAAAGTGTTAACGTCTCCGAATCTGTCTGCAGGCGTGTTGCTCATTTACTCCCGAGGTCGAGGCCGCGGCTGCAGACGTTCGTTCTTGTTAAACATGCAGAAACAGCTGACGTGAAGGATGAGACAAACCTGCTCAGGAGAGAGAAAGTCGAAAAGATTTACACTCAGTATATCTGATCGTTTCTGGTTTAAAACTCATAACCGCCAGATGTTGAAAAGGTGTAAATTAATTTCTCACGTTCTAAGATGAAAACTAAATCTTTACTCCTCCCACAGTGTAACAACGTCAGCGAGATTTCTGTGACCTCGCCAGGGTTTCTTCTCTGTCACAACAGCGGCTAAAGTTACTCTAAAGCCGTAAAAAACTAATTGAAGCGACAGCGATTTAATCAGTGGTGGGACGCAACTCAGGCCTCGTCCACGTGTGCACAGGAAATCCTGTGAACATGAATATGTAAAAACACGCTATCAAGGGCTGTCAAGTGGCGCTGCAATCTTTCCTGCTCGCCTCAGAGTCCTGGAGGCGTACAGGTCCAGAAGAGAAGGAAGACTGCAGCCAATCAGCTTCTCCGCAGAGCGAATGATGCGCTGCAGCCTACCCTTGTCCCTGGCGGTGTGGCGGTGGCGTACCAGTACTGATGCAGTGGATAAGCTACATGCCTTTGGTGTGAGAGACCCGGGTTCAGTTCCCCACTGTGACATGTCCACCATTGTGTCCCTGAGCGAGACACTTAACCCTCGTTGCTCCAGAGGCGTGCGACCTCTGACATGTATAACAACAGCATCTGTATTTAATACGTTTGACAGGAAGTTACAGAGATGGCTGCTGTTATCGATGGAGAAGGAGACACAGCCGTGATGAAAGAAGACAAAGAGAAATTAACAATATTAAATAATATTATTCTGTATCCAATATATAGAAATACAATTATTTTATTTTATTTGATGAACTATATGAATTGAATTTAATAACCCACCAGCTGTTCACAGCGCGCCGATCGTAGCAGCGACACAACCCGTTGTAGAGGAAATGGGGCGTTGGGGCGTACAGGCAGCGCCAGGAGGTCGAGGAGCGACCGGGCACGCTGCGGGCGGTCGGTGGTCGTTCCCTCTGGCTGGATGAAGCGCGATCTGCTGGCATTTCCTGGCGTCTGGGTCATTCCAGCATACTGTAGCTGTTTCTGCTGGGGTTTCCCAAAGCAGTTTTTCAGGGGTGCTGTGCCAGGTACTTAGTGCAGTCTCAGACAGGACGGGCAGGTACAGACGATTTCCACTGAATGAAACCAACCAAGGTTTTAATGCAGCGGCTGCTTTCCCTCCAGACTCTCATGGCGGAAACCATTAAAACACGTAAAACCCTCATAAATACTGCCGCCTCCACTGTGTTTGCACCTGTTGTCATCTACGCAATATTTCTTAGTTGATCACCCGTAACAGGTACTACAATTACACGTGCAATATTTTAGAATACACACACACATTAGTCCTCTTTATTCTGGGTGTTAAATCTGACCACAAGTGTTTTACAGACAAACCAAACAGACCTCAGTGTCCTCGACTCGTCTGACAGGTGAAAAACTTTCCCAGCAAAGGATCCAATCGAACCGAGCCGAGAGGTCAAAGGTCACTTTAATCAAGTTTCCTGATGAAGGAAGAGTCCACCTTTGTTAACACACCTTGTTAACACACTGAGTGCTGACAGCAGTCAGAGGTCAGCTGTTGTAATTAGTGAAAAACAGATCAGAGAGGAGGATGAGGAGGAGGTAATTACCAGCAGAAAGTGATGAAGGTTTCATCATACTTTCAGTAATCTCTGACATTTTCCTTCTTCAACGTGTGGGTGTTTTGATCATGTCGTCCAATCGCAACACGTTCTCAGTCCCGACTCTTCACATTAGCATTTAGCATCGTTTTTGTACGCGTAGGGCTCCGTGGTCAAGTTAGCAAGATTAATGTGCAACGTCCGGTTAGACTTTCAAAATAAAACTAGTGGTTAATGTTGTGAAACATTGCAGTTTGGTTGGGTTTAGGAAAAGGTCAAGGTTTGGCGATGGAGCAGTGGATACATGCCCTTGATGCGGGAGACCCAAGTTCAAATCCCACTACGATGTGTCCCTGAGCAAGACACTAAACCCCTAGTAGCTCCAGAGCCGTGCGACATCTGGTGGATTTCCAATTATAGCAGATTTAAATTGACTTACTATATATACACACACACTATTAGGGCTGAACGATTTTGGAAAATAATCTAATTGCGATTTTGTTTTACCAATGTTTCTATTTCATATGCGATTAATTTTTAAGCTCTCAGCGTGCAGTCTGACCAACACAATATTAGCTAGATTAAATATCCACTGTTCTTCCTTGCAGGTCAGGCCTGTGTTAGGAAGAAATCAGGTGATGCATGAATTATTATTATGAGCAATGGTAGAGAAGAAATATCAAATTTTAATAATATGAGAAAGATGATTTGAGTGAAGTCATGGCATTAAATAATGATATAGTATCATCAGGTCAGCCTACAAGGAAAACACAGTTCACCACAGTGTTATACAGGAAGAGCTCACTACAAAACCCACAGTTGAACCACCAAGTAATGCGTCCTTATCTCTGTTCAGATCTCCCAGGAGTCCATCTTTCTGTCTCCCAGTAAGCAAACAAATAAAACTCAGTTTGAGGTCCAATTCAAAAGTTGGCCAACGAAAATAAAAAATAAAAGTGACGCCTCTCGTGTTTAATGCATTGCATTGTTCCTGTCCGTCAAAGCGGCGGATGGCACCACGATTTCACCTACCACCAAGTTACCCGCGGGTGCCACTAAAGTTTCTGGACTTCAGCTGTCCTTCCCGTCTCCGTGTAGCGCCGTCTCAGGCGTCTCACAGTACGGATATTGCATTTTATTGGCCACATTTGCAGTCCTCACGCTTCCTTGCAGCAGATGAGCAGGGACCCTCTTTGTTTTGGTGTTTTGCAGAGTCAGTAGAGAAGGTCTCTTTAGGGTTCTAAGTTTTTATAACTTAACATCCTACCGTCTGCACGCTGTTAGTGTCTTCGACTGCTCCACAGGTGCATGTTCATTGATTGTTTTTGGTTCAGTGAACAAGCATAAAAACATTGTTGACAACCTTTACAATAAAGTTCTGTAAAGTTATTTGGATGTTTACAGAATTATCTTGGAAAAACAGTGTCCTGAAAATGGGATTTTTTACATGCATCACTCCTTCAGCAGCAGCAGCATCGGAACAAACTTTGAAATAGTCAGGATGTTGTTTGTCACTTTCATAATGTGTCTGTACTGAACGGTGCAGCCTGCAGGAGGCCCGAGCCACACTGTAGACTTATTACAGTATTTATTCTTTTCTTTATGCCAAATGATGTTGAACTCTGAGGTTTGTCTTCCGGCCCCGTTAGTACGACAGGGTTTGTAGATAGTAATTAGTGTGGATCAGTGATATCTAATAAACTGACAGACGCATGTTAAAGCATTATTAATGGAACAGAAACGTGTGCTTAATTAATACTTACTGAATGATAGATCCGGTTTTCGTTCATGCAGATAATTAGTAAAGAAACAGAAAGCAGAATCACAAACTCTTACTGAGGTGACGGATGCTGTGTTGGTTGTTAGTGAGCCAATAAACAGACGGAGGTAATTATGGAGGAGACGGCAGAAAGTGAAGCAGGTTGTTAATTAACTAAACAAAAACAGTGAAGGCAGAGAAAACCAGCAACTTAGTTAAGTTTTCCTTCTTTATTTTTTAAGCTTTAAGTGGATACAGCACATGCCTTTGGGCTTTCATTCCCGCTGTGACACATCCACCAATGTGTCTCTTAGCAAGACTCTTAACCCCTGGTCGTTCCAGAGGCGTGAGACAAAAATGCTCACTGGGACAATATGCCAAAATGTTTTTTAGCAACATCATCATGACAAAATGTCAGGTCTGTTCTCATAATCCTAAAAATCCACATGATATATGAAGTGAGTCTCCCTGAACAACTCTTACAGTCCAGAAGAGAGAAGAGATTCAAATAATGAGCTTATAAAAATATACACTCATCTGAGTCTCCTTCAGAGCAGCTACCTTAACGAGCAGCAGCGGGTGCTTGGTCAATTAATTTTGGCCCTGCGGTTTGCCCCTCAGGTTACAGTCATGTACAGCCTTAAAGGAACACCTGCAGACAAAACTCAGGGCTGAAAAATGGTACTTCCCTCTACATTTAAAATCATTTAATCTGTATTTTTTATTTATAGTTAATATTCTCCTTAAAAAGGTGTTAGAATTAGACATAACATAAGACAGCGGGGCGGCTGTGGCTTAGAGGTTCGATACTCTGGTCCAAACACATCGTGTCCTCAGGCAAGATACTGAACCACAAACTGCTCCTGAAGGCTCTGCCGTCGGTGTGAATGTGACATGTGGTGTACAAATGCTAAGTACAGTCCATTTACTATTTATAAAGACGCGTACCGTAAAACCTCAATTAATAGCCGAGTCCCAAACAGCCGCCTACCTCCTTTACTGGCCTGCTGTGGGAACACATTTAGACAAATAAACGCCTGGTCTGGTTTTTATAGGAGTTCTTTGTATAAAACCTCTTAAACCCCGCGGGGTCGCCGCTTTACCTGCTTCTAAGCTGCTTAGTACAAATATTAATGTTTAATGATCATTGTGTCCGTGTGGACATGCTGCACATCGTTAGATCGGTTCGATTCTCCATGATTCAATCAGTCAGTTCATTTAACGGAATTATGAATTATTGTCATTGCTCTTTTTTGAAGTATAAATAACGATTGCTATGAATT